TGAATTGGATCATCTCATAACACATGATGCTGATCCTGATGATTCATAACATGAAACTCACTATGATTTAATGATTGTTACTGAAAGATTGAATATTGATATTTTCTTCTAGGAATTCAAATATCCCATCCAAGGATTGGATGAATTTAACAAGGTATAGCAAAGAGGATATTGCTGGGGTTGAATCATTCCTAGATTTCTCTTGATCTTATGGAGATCCTCAAGGAGATGAAATTCACTGTCCATGTGCCAAATGTTTTAAGATTCATTGGACTAGAAGGAATGTAGTGTATGATCATCTAATATGCTATGAGTTTGTTAAAGGATATATTTAATGGATCAATCACAGAGAATGGGATATCAAGTTGAATGTTGACGATGATATGAATTACTCGCTTGATGATATTGATGGATTGTTGAATGATCAATTTAGAAATGTTTCATAGTATGAAGGAGTTTATGATTGTCCAAATGAAGATTCCAAGAAATTCTATAACTTAGTTGAAGAGGCAAACCAAGAATTATATCCAGGTTGTACAACATTCTCGAAATTATCATTCACACTTCGTTTATATTTGTTGAAGTGTCAGCATGGATGGAGCAATGAATCATTCACTTCTCTTTTAGAGTTATTAAAAGAGGTGATGCCCGAGTTGAACATTCCTCTGTCTTATAATAAAATCAAGAATATTGTTAAGAATCTCGATCTTGATTATGAGAAAATTAATGCATGTCCCAATGATTGCATGTTGTTCAAGAATGATCATAAGGACGATGAATCATAAAATAAATGAATCATAAACTCATTTTAGCTTTAAATAGTACTAACAGCTCACTGCGGATGCCAATTTTATTCGACAGGCTGAACTTCAGAATCGCCAAAAATCTGGTGAAACAGATGATGATGCATTTAGAACAGTGTTTGGAAAGGAGCAGCCTGATCAACTTAGGTGCTATGGAAGATCAGTGACAACAAGAAGAAATTAACAAGCTAAAACAAAAGCATGCCAATGAAATCACTTTCCTAAAGGAAGAAATGAGAGAATAAATGTGATGCTTATTCACTCAATTATTGCAAATCAACCCTAGATTAATTTTCAAGATATACCAGGGTGTGTTGGATCTAACCATGCTTCCCCGTTGATGCAAGTAGCGCACAAGCTCTTCGAGGCACAAATCTTCCACATTCTTCAGGATCAGCTCATGATTCTATTCTTCAAAAGGTATCTTGTATTTCACATTCTATGTTAATAGTCTACATATTGTTATCGATATCCAAGGTGGTAGTGATTTTGTTGCTTGCGTATCTCCTCTCAGTGTTGACCTTATTGATGTTTTTCTGGAAGTTGTCCATTGTGTTTTCTTCACCAATTTTTCTGAGGTTTTTCGGTTTTGATTGCTTGCTTTCTTCAGACAATTTACTTGCACTGTACATGACATAAAAGGCATAAGAATTTGTAGGTATATTGCATCACTTTGTAAGAACGAGGAACTGTGTTTTCTGATTTACTGCCATGCCTTGCATTATTGGTTTTCTTTTTTTCCTTGTATGATTGTGGAATTATTCTTGTGGAGAAAGGATCTGGGCTCTTGCTTTGACATAGTTGTCCTCTGTAGTGATATTATAAGTCTTGTTATAATAGAATTGTGTATGCCTAACAATTCTAACTCATCGTTACTTTAGATTAATGAAACTTGTTGAGTGACTGATTTATTCTATTGAAAGATTGTTATTCTAATGACCATATTTAGGTCTCTCTGTTATAATTGTAGATATAGTGGGTGATCCATAAATGACACTTCTTAAATTAATAGTGTGAGTTTGAGATAATCATTGAATTACAGTAAGGTAACAGAAGATCTATGAGCTTGTTATTGAAAAAAAGAAGACATGACCTATATTTTTCTGGTTTGAAAAAATATGTTGGGCAAAATTTGTTTTTCTGGTTTTGTATTATAGCATGTCATTACCAGGACTGATTTTGTGAATCAAAAGACGTGGGATACTTGCTGCCATGTGTTTTTTATCTCCTTTTGCACAACCTTGTTATTTGATTCTTTCTTATGAAGTAGTTCATCTCAATCACCTACAATTGGTAACTGCCTTAGCAAGATTAAACAATTATTTATGTGTGTAGTACTGTTGAGTTATGTCAGCTTTTTGACTAAAAAATTAGCAGAATGTAGACATGTTGACACTAGAATTTCAGCTTTCCAGCAGTTTTCCTGAGCTGCTCATTTTGATGACGTGTTGCATCTTCCATGGAGTTTTGCCATTTTTGTTGAGGCATTTGGTTAATAGCTATGGATCGACCTCTAATATCACCTTCATGTATCCATGTTGAACAGACGATTGCAGTTCATATAAAGTTTTCTGACTTTCAGCCTGGTTGTTATAGTGACAATTCCCAAAGGAATTCTGATAGCATACACCAAATTTTCTTGTGTCTGTGAGTACTGCCCAGGGAACTTGAAAATAATTTTCGAATAAAATTGGAAAATGCCCAAATACAAAGATTTGATCAATGAAATTAGTTCCTCTTGCAATTTTAACAAGAATAATCTGCAGGTTCTCTTGCAACTAGAACATCTGTAGTTCCTCTTGCAATTGCAACAAGAACAATCTGGGAAAATGCCTAGACACAAAGATGTGATCAACGGTTGTTTTGTACCTGTAATTGTGATGAATTTCTATGTTTGCCTACTGTTTTTCTCAGATTTTATCATTCATATTTGGTTCTGCCTTGTACATGTTTAAGATCATTTAACTTCTACCTCTTAGATTTTATCATTAATATTTGCATATTGGGACAAACATGGAATACATGCCTACTAATTTTCCCAGATTTTATAGTTTTTATACATGTTAGGGGATTCTTTAACTGTGAAGCATGTGTGAGTCGAACTATGACTAGTGAACATATGAAATACATGGTTCTCTAATTTATAAGTTAATTTTGAATGTGCAGGGAAATGCCGCTGATTGAATTTGAGGACAGAAGTAATTAAACTTGATTATATTATTGAAGTGAACGATAAAAATTTTTTGTACTATTATTGTTAATGTTTGAATACATTTGATTTTGTGGAATGTATTGTTAGTTGAGATTTTTATAACATTACTTTCTAAGTAAAAGACATGTTTCATAGTTATATTTGAATTATATAATTCCTGATTATGCGTAAGCTTATTTTGTGCTTTAGATCACTTTCATATTAATTTTGATAATTATTTATATGCAAGCTAAAATTATTATTATTAAAAAATGAAAATTTGGCCACAAAATTTCTAGACAACATTGCAACTCTTCAAAAGTATGGCTTATTGTTAATAAATTTTATTTGAAAAGTAACACTTTATAACTGTTGTTGTAAATGATATATAAAAAGGCTACACTTTTGAAGTGTAACCAATAATGACGCAAAGGTCACACTTTTAAGTGTAGTATTATCATATAAAAGCGTTGCTAATAAAATACTCCAAAGTGTGACCTTTATACCTCTATGGCCACACTTTTTAAGTGTTGCTGCTTTGGCAACACTGTTGAAGTGTTGCCTAATGTCAAAGGTTACACTTCTTTTGGCCACCCCCTGAAAAGTGTTGCTTAAAGTCCAAAAGCGTAGTCTTTTATAAAAAGCTACATTTTTTGCTAGTTTAGGCTACACTTTACAGGGGTGGCCGTAGGTTTAAAATGTTGTAGTATATTTATTTCCAAAAATAATTTTTCTTGGTTTCTTAGCTTATTCTTAGTTATTTCAAGTTAAGATATGTTATACTAAGTCTCCTCCCAACTGAATAGACATGAAGCTAAAATGCTCTGAACACCGAATAGCTTAAAATGTTGACATGCTAACTATGAAGGCAACATTTATATACAGAGAATGTAACATCCAAAATTTGGAGTATAAATTTCTGTTTAACAGACCTAGAAAGTATAATTCACGAACTAAGAAAATTCACAAAGTAGGATTCTGAGTTTTCTATAAGGAAGTGTGCCAAGTTCCCAAGAAAGATACTATTTCGATTAAAGATTCTTCAACAACAAAAATCACCATGAATCTCCAAGGATTTTAAATCCTAGGTCTAAACAAGTTATGAAGAATCAAGGAACTAACTGAATTCTAGGGATTCAGTAGATGAAAGAGCCCATTAGTGAAATTCAATATACTTGGTGAAATCTCTTGGATTTCGGGACTAAACATCGAAGAACACTCATGCTTGTTCTTGGAAGAGGCCGACTTGCATTAGTTGTACATAAATTATTTCTTATGTATTGTTTGGTCGTACAAAAATATTTGTTTTCTAAAATATACTCTACAATTATGGTGAAAAAAATGTAAAAGTGCTTTTGATAGGTATTTGTGTCTTTAAAATGCTAATGTCATCGTCATGCATTAAATTCATCTGCATTAATATCATGCATTACTGATACATAAATTTATGATATTAATAATATATTTTCCAATACACAATAAAGTGTATTAATTATTGATTGCATTAGTTATACATAGTATGAAAAAAAAGTATCAAACAAGCTATTACTAGTACACAAAACAAATGCAAACCTTATTTTTATTAATGCACTCTACTAAATAATCCCAAAATGTGTATAGGGGGAGGGGTGGATAAAATGGATACCGTTTTTATTATTGAATATTTCTTTTTATAAATAATGGATACCTTTTTATTTGAATAATTTTTAATAACTCATGGGTATCTTTTAATTTTTAAGAATTAATTTTTAGATAAATTTTTTAGTTAAAATAAAATTAGGCTATAAAATATCAATAGTTAAGTCACTTCTTTTTAAATAAACTTGAATTATTTTTTAATCATAAAAAAAACATAGATTTAAAAGAATCATCAAGTGACTTTGTAAAAGCACCATGATATTATCTCTAGAGGAGGAAATAATAATGGTGTTGGATCAAGAACCATAACAAGTTTGTATTTGTATTATAACTCTTTATTATTATCCATGAAAAAAATTTGTGGCCATTGATGAATTGTCACACATACCCCACACACATAGGCACAATCACATTACTTGATTGCTCCATCTCTCTCAATTCCCCCAATAAGCCATAACCAATGGGCACCCTATCTCCCAAACTAGCCACCGGCATTCTCCATTTCCCGTCTCACCGCCACCATCGTAAACTGCCTTCACTCCTCCCTGTCAACTTCAATTCGTCAACAGGAAACAATTTTGGTTGTATTAGATGTAGCAATGTTAAGGTGAAGACAGTAAAATGCAAGGCTACTGACGTTTCAGTTGCGGAAGGCTCATCGGCGGCCAATTGGGTACCTGTGGTTCCGTTGTCAGCACTGCCAAAAGGAGAGAGACGTGTTATTATACAAGATGGGGAAACTATACTCTTGCTTTGGTATAAAGATGATGTTTTTGCTATTGAAAATCGTTCCCCTGCTGAAGGTGCTTATAGTGAAGGACTTCTTAATGCTAAGCTCACTCAGGTCCCCTTCCCCTCTTCTCCTTTAATTTACTCATTTTTTTTGGGTTTATTTAGTTGATGGAAACATATCAGTTCTTATGAGTGGTTATAATTCATTCCATTTTGTTGCTATTTCTGTTACAATCAAAGAAACAAATTGCATGTGTTTGGTATGAAGGAAAATGGTTTGGTGGGAAAAATGGTTTTCTCACTTATATATTTCTGGTGTTTGATTAGTAAGAAGAAATGAATTCATTTCTATGATCAGGAGTCGGGCCTCAAGTCGAGGACGGGAGTTGGGCTTGAGGTTGGGGTTAAGGTCAAAACGGTTTTGGATTGGGATCAGGGATCAGAAACCAAATCCGACTTGGTAATCATGTCCCAGTTGGGGTTAGGTTTCAGATCAGGGTCGGGTGGTAAGGTTGAATGAGAGTGTTGGAAAATGTTTTCGTTACTTTAGGTAGGAAAGCATTTTCCTTAAATTTGAGAAAAATAAGTCTATTTGGTAAACATTTAGTCAGACCAAATATGTGAAAATTGAAATGGTTTCCCTCATACCAAACATAAAGTGAAAAAATACTAAAAATTGTGATCACTTGAACAATTGTGTGAGAAATACTATGGAAGCTTCTAATGTAGTCCTAGAGGACAATTTTTAAGTGGGGCATCATTATTTCTTACCCTCTCTACTGTTGCAAGGTAGTAAGTATTAGTGATTGAAAAACTCAAAAATCTAATCCGATGTGTTAAGAAAAATGTACTTGCCTAACTCAACCTCGAAAGTTCTCATATGCTGTTGTCCTAGACCAGAATACAAGTCATTTCTTTAACCAATGTGAGTGTCTAATACCCCATGTATGCTAGATGTACACCTGTTACATTAATAATATAACATGGGAGATAACGACGAGGATTTGTCTAGCTCAAATATCATGCCAACAGAAATTGATCTTGGACTTAGTTCAACCTCAAAATTCCGTATCTTCAATCAATGAGACTTTTAAGAGAATGCTAATTTGAGGGGCTACTATATTTCTTGTGGAAGTTATTGATCTTCTCTTCACAAGGTTGGTTGAGTGGCCAAGTATGGAGGAGCTGGAAATATTATTTACTTTTAGGATTTGTTTTGTGTGGAACATATAGCCCTCTTCCAGCTAAATTCAGTCACTCAAACAAAATTTTGCACAGCGGTGTTTTTGTGTATTACATTTTCGTACGTTTGTCTGCAAGACAAGCTGTATTGGAGTAGCGTTTAGCACCTAATTTCCTTTCTATCTCCCTAATATGAATTGCAAAAGAGGCCAGGAAATGAATTTATATTTTAATTAGGCACATAAGTGACATATGGTAGTCAGTTAAGTGATTTGTACATAGTGAATGTATGGGGCACCTAGGAGCCTGTTAATTTATTTACAATTATTTCTTGAGGGGGCAAATTGGAATATATTAACTGATATGTAAATGATTTCCATAAATTGAAGGGAATCCTTGGTGTAATTGGTAAAGTTGTTTCCATGTGACCAAGAGGTGAAAAATTCGATCTGTGAAAACCTCTTGCAGAAATGCAATACAGTAGGCCCTTGTTGTTTAGCCCTTCCCCAAACTGCTACATTGCGGGAGCTTAGCGCACCATGTTATCCTTTTTCATAGATAAACAATCACATGACTAGTTTGTTTGGTTGCTACAATTTTTGGTGAAGGGTGCAACTTCGGCACTATGTAAATGTCATGACATAACTAACATTCTGTTCCAATAGAACTTTTCAGCCTAAATATATAAAATGTTCTGAATTTAGTGGAGGTTACAAATTCATGAAATGCATAAATGTTGCTGAAAGTTACAAGAACAAATTGATTAGACAACAGATAAAATAAGATACGGTACAAAGTTGGCAAACCATTAATTCATTTCATTTACGTGGCTTCTGCTTGAACGATGAAATGCTACATTTTTGCAAAATTATATAACTAGCCAGTAGCCAGGATCTCGGCCTTACCAATTTTTGAAGTTCGACTTAACATATGCTACTAAATTAAGGGACTATTATAAAGCACAAAAAGGTTTGCTTGTTTGAATGCACTTGCTGCTGCATAGAGCTTCCTTTTCGTGTTAATGTTAGAACTCATGTTGTTAAATAAATTGATGTTATTCTAAATGTGTCTACTGTCTGATATCTATTACTACGACCATGATATAGATCGTTCATTTCTCCATGCTGCATGAACATGCTGACAATATGCATATTTGTTTCTGGATTGGATAATGTAAACGTCCATAAATCTCAAATTCCTACAGGATGGATGTATCGTGTGTCCTACAACAGATAGCACATTTTATCTGCAAAATGGAGCCATCAAAGAATGGTATCCGAATAATCCTGTGCTGAGAGTCCTTACTCCCGCCTTGAGAAATTTGTTTGTTTATCCTGTTAAAACCGATGATGAGAATATCTACATCAGCACGAGAGGTGGAAAAGTTGATGCTTCTGCAGAGATTGTTTTCAGTGGAAAGGCTCAACCTGGTGTAACAGCAACTGACGTGAATGTAGACGAGGTAATTGAACCGACTTAATCTTGACTAGTTACAAACTTGTCCTATCTAGTAAATAACACATTCTGATCTTATTCTCCTTGTACGCATTTAGGTAAGAATGGTTATCGACGAGGGTCAAGAGGCCTTTGGGTTCACCAGAAGGAATGAACTGATAAATGGAAAAGCAGCAGTAATTGGTTTCCTATTACTGTTGGATTTTGAACTCTTGACCGGCAAAGGTCTTCTCAAAGGAACAGGGTTCTTGGACTTCATTTACTCAGTTTCAGATGCTTTCAACTGAAACTGTTTCGCTTAAGGAAATTCTTATTCCCCGTCCCTCTTTTCCCCCCCTTTTACTATTTCTCTGAAAATGCTTAAACCAAATCAAAGAACTGTTGATCTTTGTATATGTTGTCCAACTTTATAGATTAGTGAATTATATAGACCTTTGAACAAGATACTCGTTGTTCCAGTGCAGAAATTCTTCTGTTTCTTCTGTAGTACTGCTATGCAGAGTTTAACCTCTAAACAATGACAAGGACGGTGAAGAATTTTACACTATTTGGCAATCAGAATGACAATTACAGCCTACAGGTAGGTAGTAACTTTCAAAACAAGATTTGTTAGTTGCAACAATTGATCAATAATAGGCTAATAGTGTAAACCAGTTTTTACATTTTGAAGTGTTTATATGCAGAGAATGCAGAGTTGGGTTGGCTTAAAAAAGTAGGGGAGACCAACTTTTAATTTTTTGATTTATTTTAAGTCATTTTTGACTCTGTCAAACACTTACTAACTTATTTTAAGTCATTTTTGACTTATTTAAAATTATTTCTATATTTGTCAAACAAACACTCCTAGAACTCAAAAACTAACTTAAAAGTAGATTTGATCAATATTCCCCCCTTGGAAACATTCATCCTCGAATAAAATATAAAAAACTGAGTATGGAGGGAAGGAGCTGCAATCCCTACCACTAAGTGCTAAAAACTGATATCTAATTGAACGCAGTTCCAAGAACATGCAAATATTCATGGTTGCTTCTGCTTCCCAAGTAGCTCCCGACACGGATTGACTACTCCACAAAAATTTTTTCGAAGCGATTTTCTTAGTCCTCAATCTATGAACCTGAAGGTAAAGAATTTTAGCTATAATAAGTGAGACTATCCTTCACAACCACGATCTCTAATGGTACTATTGATGCATGAGCACCCACACACTTCTTTAACAAGGAAATGTGGAAGACTTAATGAACCGCTGCTAGTTCTGCTGGCAACTTTAACTCATAAGCCACCTTATAAATCCTCTTCAGGATTTGTATGGACCTACATATCTTGGATTGAGCTTCCCTTTCTTGCCAAATCTTATCATCCCCTTTATAGGTGACACCTTTAGGAAAACACAATCATCTATTTCAAACTCTAAGTCCATTCTCCTCACATCTGCATAGGACTTCTTACAACTATGAGGTGTCTTTAGTCTATATCTGATAAATTGAACTTTCTTCATAGCTTTATGAACCAAATCTGGTCCAATCAAGGCTGCTTCACCTACTTCAAACCAACCAATCAGAGATTTACATCTACGCCCATATAGTGCCTCATAAGGGGCCATCTGAATGTTGGAATGTAAGCTATTATTGTAGGCGAACTCTGTGAGAGGTAGGTGATCATGTCAACTTCCCTTGAAACCGATTATACAAGCTCTTAACATGTCCTCTAAGGTTTGAATGGTACGCTCTATCTGACCATCCATTTGTGGATGAAATGTTGTACAAATTTACCTGTGTACCAAGACCTTTCTAAAATGATTTCCAGAAATGAGATGTAAACTGAGAACCTCCATATGAGAAGAAAGACAGAGGAACCTCATGTAACCTGATTATCTCATTAATGAAGAGTTTAGTCCAATCCCCTATTGAATCTGTAGTCTTGACAGCTAAGAAGTGAGCGGACTTGGTAACTATGTCCACTATCACCCAAATGAAGTCATCCTGACTGGAAGTATGAGGTAAACCCATAACGAAGTCCATGTTTATCACTTTCCACTTCCATGTAGGAATGTTAATATACTGAGTCATACCTCTCGGTATCTGATGTTCTACCTTAACCTGTTGACAATTAGGACACTTAGCTACAAAATCTGCTATGTCTTCTTCATGCTGTTCCACCAAAAGACTTCTTGTAGATCATGGTACATCTTAGTGGCACCTGGATAAATAGAATATCTAGAATTATGGACTTCTTTAAGGATTTGCTGCCTCAACCCACCCACATTAGGGACACATAGGCGACCTGATAACCAAGCACACCATCTCTTCCTTTGGGAGAAAACCTCTACTTTCTGCTGATGAAGTGCACCTTTCAATTGAAGTAATATAGGATCACTATCATGTTTTTCCTTAACCTCCACTACCAATGAAGATTCAGATCTATTCTGAACTATCACACCACCATCTGACATGTCCATAAGACCAACTCCTAAGCGAGAAAGTCGGAGAAAATCTTTTGCTTATTCCTTCTTTTCTTTCTCAACATGTGCTACACTACCCATAGATAGTATGCTGAGAGCATCAACCACTATATTGGCCTTACCAGGATGGTAAATCACATTCATATCATAGTCCTTGAGAAATTCAAGCCATCTCCTCTGATGAAGATTCAACTATTTATGGGTGAACACATACAAAGGCTCTTATGACTTATGAACATATCTACGTGAACACCATACAAGTAATATCTCTTAATCTTTAGGGAAAATACTACAACTACAAGCTCGAGGTCATGAGTTGGATAGTTCTTTTCATGGACCTTAAGCTGTCTTGAAGCATAAGTTATGAACTTACCTCGCTGCATCAACAAACAACCTAGTGTCACTGACTCAGAGGTTTCACTAAATCTCCATGCAACACTTGACAACTTACTCACTATTCTTTCAAGATCTCGTAAGCTCAAGTAATCCTTTAAGACTAAGATCGCTAAAAGAATGCAACGAAAGACTTAAAAAGTTTTGAAAAGTTTGGAAGAAGGCTGTATTATCTTGGAAGACTGCTTTAAAACTTGAGTGATGATTTACAAATGAGAGACCCTCTATTTATACTACTTCCTAGGGGGCTAAAGTGTTAAAAAAAGTACTACACAAATCCCTACATATTTATAATTTAGTCCTTATTCTAGAATTATCTACAACTCTAGAGTATTCCAAGGATTTATCAATGTGATTCCATAACCTTCCTTGGGAAATATCCACGATTCTCTTGAATATTCAACTAAGGACTATTTTTATTCCAATGTAAGCCTTCCAAGGAAATATTTAGAGAGTTCTAGAGTCTTCCATAGACCTCTACACAACTCTAGTTTCTACCCCATTATATTCATGTTTTATTTTGATGGAAAGGTGGCGGGTCATGACACTCTCCTCCACCTGATGTTGCGACGGCTGGGTCTCATGGCTGCTGCATGAACAACCGAGTCTTGTCTTTTTATATGCACGATTTGTAGTCCATCGACTTGATCAACACTCTCCCAAAACTCTTTCAAACACTTCTCTATCTTTTCTAGCTTGATCTTATGATATACCTCATTCCTAGGAGGCAAGCGCCTTGGCGTCTTCTTTGGCATCACAACATTGTTCTTTTCTAGAACCTTCACCATGCATGGTCTCAATAACTTTTTAGCACCATTTTCTTCTTTTGAACTTGCATTGTTGTCTATAAGCATCGACTCCTTCTTCTTAGGGCTTCTTACGAGCTGCATGTCTATTAGGCAGACTTGATCTTCCCTCTTCGTTACCATAATGAGGGGCACCATGCATGATCCTCGTTACTCTATGATCAAGAGTTATTGGAGGTAAGGATCAATCACCGCTGGACACTGCTAAAAGAACTCTTGCCCAAGAATTATGTCAAAGATATCTAAATGAGCGAAGGTGAAGTTGGTCTTATCTTGCCACTCGTCTATCGTGATACTTACTCCTTGTGCAACTCCACACACGGGAGTCGGTGGTGAATTAACCGTCTTGAGCTGGGCGTTACTTGGACTGTAAATCATCCCTAACCTTGTCATTGTTGCCTTGGTCATGATATTAGCCTCTACATCCGTGTTGACCATAGTACACGCGGGTCTTTCATTGATCGTGAGGGCGACATAATATGATGACTCTAGAGCAACTCCTATTCATAACACGGCGTACTCGATCTCAAAGAGGTCTTATACAATCCCTTATCATATCATCATTACATAAGACATTGAATAGTGCAGAAAATTTAAAAACTTTAACAATCAACGCCAAACACTTTCATATATGAAAATAGAGTATGTAGACTTGTCTAATTAACCATCTAGGTTTAAAGATTAAAATCTCAACATAGGGACCTTTGCCCTTACAATCGAATGTATAATAATACAAAGTACAATAAATGTCTAGTACAAGATGGAAAGAAAACATAAAGTGTCATGATGTGCTTGGAACTTGAGGACATACCAAATGGCCTTGGGAAAGAAATCCAAGCTTTTATTCTTCTTCAATAAGGACCCACTAGCTCGAACCTACACTTAGTAGAAAAATAGAAGTAATATCGATTAGTACATTCCACTTGTTCTAAGTATGAAAACCATGCAAGTAAGACTTTTAAAACATGCACAAAGTGACCTTTAGTTTAAAACATGCTATTTCAAGTTAAAAGCTATAATGCACATTCAAGGTATACTTAATCAATCCATACCCTGAGATAAAGAGACATTCATGATCATACAGACCATTTCATAGAGTTATAGTTCATATCTTACATACTTGAGTTCATTTAACATTTACATCATAAGACATAAATCATAATCGCCTTTCAAGCTCACTTGTGCAATGTACATATGAAGTCTCATACCCCCATACATACTAAGTAAACCATAAAGAAATCATAAGCATTGTCACATACTTCATTAGCCATCATAATAAGTAAACCCATCATAACATCATTCATAAGTAACCATGCATGAAGAATTCTCACAAGAACCCCTCTTAAGACCCACTTGTGCAATGCATAGGTAACGTCCCATATCATCACCTACACTAAGTACTATCCCTCAAGAAACTTGTTACAATCATGTTCTCATCTTCATCCATATTTTAAACATTTGGGAAACTTTGACATAACCAACATAGACTATGTGACATACATGGAATCTGGTGTTAACCGCTCACACCAAAAGGAGGGCGTCCTACTTGCCAATGTAGGGCATAACATTCATGATACCATCTAGATGGATCCACTAACTATAACCTATGTGGGAATCATAGTTAAGGGATATGTAGACTGTTACTATAAAACCTTATCCATATAAACATATGGGTTTGAATCTCATGGGAACATTGGGGGAAACTTATTTCCTTTGTGAAGTGACCCCTCCCATTCATATCCTCTGATGCTAAGCTCAATTCGCCTTTATAGGCAATCTTTAGCATTTACTTAAACATTAGTTCATATAG